TTGGCCTCAGCTACGCGGGTATCGGTGACCCTTGCCAATGATGAGAGGCGGGAACTACTGCAGACTGAGTCCGGAGCAATCCTTTCAACGTCTCCAGCTACCCAGCCGATCCTGCCAATGGCGGAACTAGTGAGGGCCGGATGCGAAGTCAGCTGGAGGAGGGGTGTGTTCAAGGTTACGCATCCAGTTTGGGGTGAGCTCAAGACGTCGTTGCGTGGCGGTTGTCCAGAGTTGGCACAAGAACAAGCGGCGAAGCTCGTGGATCAGATCGAGGACAAGAAGCTCCGTGAATTTCAAGATGGGGTTTCTATGTTGAAGTCGAAGTTGGACTACCTGGTTCGCGAAGAGAAGCTTCCCTGGACGTCATATGCAATGAAATTCTTGGATGAGGGACTGGCTAAGGATCTTTGGAAGGCAGTGCGAGGATCCTTCATGAAAGATCTTCCAGAAGCAGTTCTAGACTCTCTTTGCGTTGGCATTCGTTTGAATCAGGGCTGGGAGCATTTGAAGTCTTTGCCTCTGCCAAGAAGAACTCGGAAGAGAATGATGGAATCGGATAGGTGGATACTTCATCTACCAAAGCATCGAGAAGAACCTCCCTTGAAGTCCGAGGACTATGGCGAGACTGCAGTGATAGTAACAGTGCCGCCGCANNNTTGCTTTCCCAGGCGTATGGTGCACTAATGTGGGGGGCTGCTACGGGAAGGGTCGCTGCGGTGATTGGTGAAACTCCTGGATGTTCAATGGCTAAGGATTTCCAGACTATCCGGATGGCAAGGACTATGGCGCTTTACGTGATTGGGAGACTCGCGAGATCAAGGGGAAGAACTGGGTTTTTCTGGCTGATGCGGAAGGACGATGGTGAGGATGAGGTTGGGAAGTTGATGGTGCAGTTTCAACAAGCGGCCTCCATGCGTGAGCTCAACGTCAACGGTGATGGCTTCCAATCCTCTTCGAGAACACGGTGGGTAGCTACAACGAACTACGATATACAAGATCTAAAAGGGGAACCTCAGTCCGAGGAGGGGAAGAACGACTTAGAGAACAAGGGCTGGCCTATGGAGTGGAGAAGGAGGTTAGCGAGGGCAATCTCTGATGGGAATTTCCGTGGTTCTCTGAAGCGAGATGATGGTACTTTGAAGGCTATGACACAGGAGCAATGGATGAGTCACGTTCAAGCTGGTCATTACCCTTCGCGCCGAGACTGCCTTCAGTGTGTTTCTCATGGGGCTACAGGACACCGTCATGCTCGTATAGAACATCCATCNNCTATTCTGCCTTACCGTGGATATCACAGGTCCTTTCAGAACAGCCGGTGAAGACCCAGGAGCTCGAGGAGATCGTTCCAAGGCAGCTAAGATGAAGTATATTCTGGTTGCAAAGTTCACCTTGCCGAAGTCCTATGTCACAGGAGAGTTTGAACCTACAGCTCAAGATCCAAGGGAAGAAGATGTTGGTATGAAGGACTTGTTCGATGAGGATGGACACATGGTTGGTTCAAAAGGGGTGTCAACCGAAGGGGAGAAGGATGATTGGTTGAGCGACGAAGAAGACTATGTGCCTTCAATGGCGGAAGAAGACGGCGAAGAGGAGGAGAAGGATACCGGTGCGGGCGTGGGTGCAATACCAATGGACGTGAAGGCCCCGGAGTCTACATACCTTCTTTTTGCAGAGCCGCTTCTCAACGACAAGGGCACCACTGTCGCCAGCGCAATCCAGTCCATTGTGTTGTACCTTCAAAGTCTTAACATCCCTGTGTTGAGATTTCACAGTGATCGCGCAGCACAGCTAATGGCCAGATCTCTGGTGCAATGGCTGCATGGACAGGCAATTCGTACAACAACCAGTACTCCTGGTGTTCCTCAAGAGAATGGTTCTGCGGAGTGTGCTGTGAAGGAAGTCAAGCTCACTACGAGAAAGATCCTGTCCTCGTCCACTCTGGGAAATTCCTTTTGGCCGGTGGCTGCAAAGGCTGCAGCATCTCTTCAAAGGGCTCGTGTTTTACGTCAGGTACCTCGGATGATAGCGGCGTTTGGCGCAAAGGTCTTGGTGAAGAAGAGGAGGTATGCGGCTTCAGGAGCTTTGATCCGATTGGAATTTGATGAACGATGGGCCGAAGGAGTGTATTTGGGTCTCTCTGATCAACTTGCGGATGGACATTTGGTCTAT